AGAATGTAGGAATGAAAAGAGATGGAAAATATGTATCTGTACCACAGAGCAGATAAGTGGTGAGCCAAAGGCAGCGTGCAAGCTTTTGCTTTGTGTAGTCCTAAAAATGTAGCAAGTCTTTTAAATTAAAACCTGGTTTGATGCCTTTGATTGCTTTGTACAACTTAAAATGCTGTGAGTACAGTCAAGAAAATGGAAATTATTAAATGCAAGACTGACACATAATGTGGTGATAAAGTAGCTGAGTCATAAGAGAATGGTAAAGAACTTCCTACATGGGGAATAGCAAAGAGAAATTGATTCCACCAAAGCAAGTATCTGCAGACTTGAAAGGTAGGAGACAATTTTGTGTTGACTCTTTAGACTAGCAGAGTCCTTTTTGGAGGTAACAAAATTTTCTGTTCCTGAGATGGCTGTGTCATGTCTGATGCTGACTGCCACTTCCATCCGTGAACACAAGATGGTGGAATGTACTCTGTGCAAGGACCTGAAGTTGTCCTGAGTGACCTGGGGACAACTCAGTTTTCATAAGAAATTTGGAAGGTAATACTCCTACATCTTTACAAAAGCCAGAAACCAGAAAAAAAAAAAAAAAAAAAAAAGGTAAAAATTGGGTTAGTTTTCCAGGTGCTGCTTTATGGTGTAGATACAGCTCTTGGTAAATGGGGTATTTAAGATAGTATGCAAATAATGTGATCTTACAGATGGTTTTTTCTTCTGGTAGTTCTAGAATAGTTACAATTTCTTTGCAAACCTGAAGGCATTTAAACACAGACTTTTTGCATTCCATTTTCATTGGGCTAGTATACAGTTGCTTTGCTGACAGTTGGAAATTCATTTAACTGGGCTAACAATTCTTCAAAGGTATCTGCTCTTACCAAATAAATTACTGCATGCATGTAAATTACCACTACTATGCACATTACATCTCTTGAAGTATTTTATAGAACCTGTTGAGCAGGCTTCTGCTGTTAACTTGAATTACTGGTATTCCCATAGACTTGAATATAGCGCAGGACAAGATAAAAGAGACAGGCGTGGTTTCTGTCGGGCAGTTACGGAGACAGGTCCTGCAATGTTCTTCAGCCCAAGGATTGTATTTAGAAAGCAGTGAGTGGGTTTTCATCAGCAGAATGCACTGGCATCATGGAGGTGATTGCCTCTGGTGATGAGGCAGCCCATGCACCACTGGGATTTTTAATACTGTGGTTTCAAGTTGCATTCATATTTTTTTTGAAAAATACCAGTGTCACACTGGTCTGTCAGCTACTTCCTAGCTATAGAAATAATGTCTTGCCCGTTTCAGAGACCATGTGTTTCAGTCTTAGAACTGCACTTCTTTAGCATCTACAAAGTGCCCTACCATCTCAGCAGGGTGATAGATGTTACACCATCAAAACTGATCCATTGGAATCCATATCCCAATCCTGCATTCTTCTTGGGCTTGTTTAGCTGATCTTTCTAGTTGCCTGGCACTTGGAGTTTTTGGGAAAGGAGGCCACAAAAGGGTAAAGAAGTTAAGAGTTTTTACTGTGTTTTTCTGTTTTCATGTCATCAAGTAGGCCATCATTTTTCCTTCCAAGTGCTACCAGAACTTAGTCTAACAAGGTCTGCAAGTCTCAGGGTGAAGATGTAACATTTCCAGCTTCTTGCTTACCAGGATAAATGTTTCGTCCTGCAGTCAAGGAGTGTCGTCGCATTGACTTCCTTAAAAAGGATTCTTACTGTAAACAGCAGATACCTGAGAAAACACAGGTGCAAGTTAATAGTCATGGTGTTTTGCTTCTAGATTTTAAATTTATTCTGTTATACTTTAGCCTGGGAGAAATAAGATTAATGACTCACACTAAAATGCTATCACAGAATTGGCTGAAAAGGAGTACTCGGTAACACTGGTGAGTTCTTCAGGCCTTCCTACAAGACCGTGTAATGGGGTGAGCACAGGAAGCAAGAGAGGGAGAGAAGGGGGTTGGGTCTCTGCTGTTTTGGCAGTGCTGATCCAAGTCCACTTCAAATGCTCACAGAGATGAGTGAGCCACTTAGTGTCTCATTGCTACCAAAAGGAGTCTGCTTCTCTTCTGTTCCCAGCTGTGATCTGCTGTTTCCTTTGTGCCAGCTCTGGCAGCTCTGTGAATTTATTTAACCCCTTGAAACTTTAGAAACCAAACCCAGTAACACACAATTAAGTACCTTTCTACCATTACAGTACAAGGAAGTAGGGCAACAACTCAAAAGATATAAAGTATTAATGTTATTTGGGCTACAGTTAATGTGAGACATTTGCATCCCATTAGGATGATAGTGGCATCTCTCATTACCTCAAATTCCCAAATCCCTATCCCAGTTTTCTAAGCAGGCTTCCCCTCTATACTCTGATCTCTGTACCCATATATTCTTTCTGTGCTATAATCCATCTTGTCTTTCTTTGCAAGAGTAAGCTCAGGCTTAGTCTCCTTAATCAAAAGTGCAGGCCCTGCCATTTTGTTCCTTATGAGAATGGACTCATAAAAAAAATACCAGCTCAGCCTCTGGAATTGCAGCTTTTCCCATGTGAACTTTGGCTGTGCCCTGTGCCCCCTCCCTCTCCCCCTCCTGCATTGTCTTCTGTGATAAGTTATCAAGGTCCTTCACATGAGTAAATAATGTGTACCAAGGTATTGCAGTCTCTGCTCATCTCCAGGGATGGTCTGTAGCAGCTGCTTGTCTGTGTGGCAGATCTCTGGTGCCTTGCTGAGGAGTGGCCAATTACCTTTAATTGTTCCCTGTGTTTAAAAAGGGAAGAACCCACATTCTGGGTATTCCCCTGCAGCAGTGTCTGTGTCTGCAACTGGAGTCCCAGACTGAGCAGCAAAACCAGTGACTTCATGGAACATGTTTTGTGCCAGCCTGCTTGATTTTAAAAACTTATAATAGTAGAGTTAGAGTCAGTAATACTGCATTGCGAGAAGAAAAGGCACAGCTGTTAATGACCCTCAATATATTGCAATATACTTTAGTCATCATTAATTAGTTCACTTCCCTCCCCTTAGTGTGGCTGTGGAAGGATTTGGAGAAGTACAAGTGAGGCTTTACATGCATTATTGTGTTGAAGAAAAATTATTTCAACATCTTGTGTGCAGCTTGCTGTGCCTGGAGAGTGGAAGGACTAGTGGATGAAGAAAAACGAATGGCCCTTGGGTTGGTCAGCAAATGTAGCCTGGGGGAGGAAGTGCTTCTGCTGTGTCCCCTCACCTGACGGAGAGAAGCTGTGTGAGCTTACAGAGAGCACTGCACACTCCTCTTCAACATCTGTATCAGTGACTTGGATGCAGGACTCGATGGAATTCTAAGCAGCTTTGCTGATGATGCAAAGCTGGGAGGAGCTTTTGACTCCCTGGAGGGCAGGCAGGCCCTGCTGAGAGACCTGGACAGGTTGGAGAGATGAGGAGTCACCAACCACGTGAAGCTTAGCAAGGGCAAGTGCTGGATTCTACACCTGGGACGAGGCAGCCCTGGTGATCAGTGCAGACATGGGAACGAGTGGCTGGAGAGCAGTAGGTGGAGAGGGACCTGGGGGTCCTGGTTGGTGGCAGCTGCAGAGGAGCCAGCCCTGCCCTGGCACCAGGAGGTCCAGCCCTGCCCTGGGGTGCATCAAGCAGAGTTTCCCAGCTGGTCCAGGGAGGGGATTGTCCTGCTCTGCTCTGGTGCAGCTTCACCTGGAGGTGCCTGCAGGGTTGGGCACCATGATATCAAAAGGACATCAAGCTATTGGAGAGTGTCCAGAGGAGAGCCATGAGGATGGTGAAGGGTCTGGATGGGATGACTTATGAGGAGCAGCTGAGGTCACTTGGGTTGTTCAGCCTGGAGAAGAGGAGGCTGAGGGGTGACCTCATTGCAGTCTGTGGTTCCTCCCCAGGGGAAGAGATGGGGCAGGTCCTGATCTCTTCACTGCTGTGACCAGTGACAGGACTGGGGGAAATGGCAGGAAGCTGAATCTGGGGAAGTTCAGGTTGGATATCAGGAAAAGGTTTTTCAGCCGGAGGGTGGTTGAGCACTGGAACAAACTCCCCGAGGCAGTGGTCCCAGCACCAAGCCTGCCTGAGCTCAAGAAGCCTTTGGATGATGCTTTCAGGCACATGGGGTGATTCTTGGGGTGCCCTACACAGGGACGGGAGTTGGACTTGATGATCCTGATGGGTCCCTTCCAACTCAGCATGTTCTATGATTCTGTGATTTAAATCAACAGGAACACTGTACTGGAAATGAGAAAAAAAGTTGCAAATTATTAGGACAGTTCTGGAAGATCTCTTCTGGAGAAGCAGTGAGGAAAGAGACCTCTGAGCTTGTGAAAGGACAGAACAGAGATGACTGGCCTCAGTAGCAAAAATTGCATCCATCCAATAATTAAGGAACACACAAGCTGTATGCTGAGGCAAGAGAGGAGCTGTGTGACAGTCAGGAATTTATTGTTTTGCATTTTAGGTCACTAAGAAACTTTCTGCTTGTTCAAATAGGCCCTGTTGAAATTTGTAGTTTTACTAGAGAGCAGGGCAGGCAGGAGGGAGTGTGACCAGGGAAGGTGCAACATTGTGTTTGGGAAAGATAATTCATCTCTAGAATGTAAGTTCCTGTCCTGCAATACTGGAGAAAATGGCAGCTATAAATGGATGCAGAGAAGGATTGCTGAGTAGCAGCAGCAGCAACCAGCAGAAACTATCAAATAGCAAAGATTGGCAGAAAATTTCCTAGTGTTAATCAGATGGCGCCAGCTGAAAAGTGTTTGGGAAAGGTAGAGGTGAACATAGGGCAGAATTTCAGATCCTTGTAGGATTTACTCATCACGACATACTGTGAAAAAAAAGATTTTTATTCCATAGGATCTGAAATTAGAGACAAGAATGAAATGGTATCAGTTTCAGCCTGAGATGTGCTTGTGTCACAATAGTACACAGAAAACACTAGGTGGAATAAGAGATTCAGAATTTATAGTTCTAGGAGGAGTAAAACTAGGCAAAGGTGAAATGTACAGCTACTGTCCACCTCTCATCTGTGATGAGCACAAGTTGCATGGCACTGCTGGCACAAGTGTCAGTGCTGCCCAGGAGTCCTCAGGAGACCACATGGTAAGTGTTGCTGCACAGTACAGAGAGGATGAGTTTTCTCTGGAGCCCTGTGCATCTCTTCCTCCAGCAGGGAGCTGAGTCATGTTCCTGGAGGATGCACTCCCTGCTCTTGTTGCTGAACTCAGCTGTCCCTAGTATTGAGGGATAATGGCCTCCCCATGGTCATAGAATTGTTTATGTTGGAAGACGTCTCTGGAGGCAGTCTTGTCGGAGGTCCTGATCTCCAGACTGCACGGGGATACTATGCCAGGCAGAGGGTTTCAGGTGCTGTCCAGGTGTGTCCTTTACTCTTCAAGGGACACCCCGAAGCCTCCGAAGAGGAACGTCCTCCTGGCCAGGCCGGGCCCGGCCCCGCCC